GGAGGGGTCCTAACCGATGTAGTGATAGTGCCCTCTGGAGGGACACTACACACTCGATAGTGTCGATGTGATACAGTGATCGGGCATGGAGGATAGACCTGTAAGATTCCTTTGCACAAGAGCGATGATACTGATGATGATGACTACCTTCTGATAATAGACCCTGCTTCTACTACAGCATCCGGCCCTATAATGCTACTCTCCACGACAGCCCCTCCTCCAATCGTAGCTACACCAGGAATATTAATTGTCCGTTAATCCTCGCTCTACTACCTCCAGGAGCAATGTAGCACTGCTGGAGTTTAGCTGATACATCAATGCTGGCCCTCGTATCAATGAAGGCGACTTCTCCATTAACCTAGTAGCGCAAGAGTAGTAGCGGATAGAAGGACACCTGGTATCACCTCAGTTATATCGCTACATACTTGGTCACCAATACCCCATTTAGAATCCTTGCTACCAAACAGATGTCTGAACTCTACGTTATGACTGGGCCAAGGGGTTAGGAAGTCTCTAGGTGACTTATCTATCATCATCGTTACTGCCGCCTCATAGTATGTACCTATATACACTCTGCTATGACGACACTGCTGTCCATATAGTAGCATACGTGGGCTAGTGGCTCGGACCAGTTGATGAGGGAGTGGTGGCACTACGCATGCACCAATCCCAAAGGGGCATACGCCATCATCAAATTTGGCACCAATAGTGAGTTTAACCAAGTCGTCCCGAAGAGACCTGAGACGCAACTTCCGAGAAACTTCCCCGCGCTAGTATTATGGTACTTATAGTCGGCTTCTTCTTCCAAAAGACGGAATACATCAGGTGAGAATACATCCCCTAGAGCACCATCGCCTTGTACCTGACCACGATTATCGTCCCTCAACCCATGTAGTGTGAATCACTACCCCTGTTCGATAGCGTATCTCCTGGAACTTCGAGGTGGAGCCGAATCCCCAGTGGAGAAGAGGCTCAGACAGTGCAACGGTTGTGGAGGACGACTCCTCAGCAGACCAGTGCAGTAACTCTCCGGTCATGATACCCTGCTGTTTCAGCTTATCACCGAGTTCTCCCTTGGCATCCCCGGCACCACCTGTGCCCACCACTATGTTCGTTAGAATATCGTCAGATGACGTTGATTCAGTCGAAGCCGACACCTGAATCAGTGTATATGCTCATTGTACTCCTCGGGGGACGGTGTTACAAAGAT